GAGAGGAATTGGTGGGCCGGGCGCGTTCGAGGCGGCGGATTGAGGGTGTGGTGAGTTGCTCTGCTGGTGCGCGTTCGCCTGCATGGGGTTGATCTGAGGTCGCTGCTGCTGTTGTTGCTGGTGGAAGTTCTGTTGCTGTTGTCCCTGCGCGAATTGCGGCATCTGGCCTGGAGGCATCGTCTGCGAGTGAGGCCCTGGCGGAGGTCGAGCTTGCGGCTGTCCTTGCTGCATTTGTTGCTGCTGCTGCTGCTGCTGCGGAAGTGAAGGCGGCATCTGCTGGTTGTGTTGTTGGTTATGCTGCTGTTGCGACGGGCCCTGCTGGTGGTTTCCCTGGTTTTGTTGCATGTTGAACTGGGGTTGTGGTTGGGGTTGAGTTTGCGATTGTTGTTGGGGTTGTGGTTGTAGTGTCTGTCCGCCCTCAATCTTGATTTGAGGCTCCTCTTTCACTTGGGGCTGCGCGGGCATGTTAGGTTGTGAAGGCTGGCGCTGAGGCGCTTGGGGCTGTTGTTGCGGCGGTTGCTGCTGCTGCTGCTGCTGTTGTGGGGGCGATTGCGCTGTGTTCTGGCTCTGAGGTTGCGCCTGAGCCTGGCCCTGCGCATTTCCCTCGCGTTCATCCTTCCATTGCTTCTGCATGGCACGGAACTTGTCAATCTGGGCCTTGATCTTAGCAGACTCCTTCTCGATGTTGGCCTTCATCATGAGCTGTTCCTGGGGTAGTTCCTGCCCATTGTTCTGCCTTTCGGTAAGCTGATGAACAAGCCGCCGTCTCTGCTCGTTAAAGGAAGCTTGTTTGGCAAGCATGTTAAGATAACCAGATCGGTACTCCTTGATTTTGGTCTCGTACTCGGGTGTGCCTGGCGCCGGTCCATTCGTGGGTCCCTGCATGGGGAACTCGTGGACATGCTTGACGATAGCAGGATCGACCTGGCCGCGTCCTGGGTTCTGGCCTTGGTTGGGCTGTTGTCCTTGGTTCTGCTGGTTGGGTTGCGCGCCGGCACCACCAGCTCCTCCATTGGGACCCTGGCCTCCTTCCTGCTTGACCGCATTGGGGTTCTGCTGGCCGGCTGCACTCGACTGTCCAGCTTGTGCTTGGTTCTGATTTCCCTGTTGCTGCTGTGCCTTCATCTTTGCGCGATACTGGCGTTCGCGCGCGATGAACTTTTGCGACCAGTCCGTCAGCTTCTGACGCGCCGTGGTATTCTCCTGGCTGCCCGGCGGGTTGTTGTTGAAGATGTTCCACGAGCTCTGCATGATCAAGCGGTACTTCTGCTTCTCGTCTTCGGGAAGACATTGTAGCTTGAGGATGTCATCGGGGCGTAGCAGCTGCTGGCCTTGCTGCTGGCCGCCGCTGGCCTGCTGTGGCTGGGATTCGCTCATCGCGAGGACTGCGGACTTCGGAGCCGCGCGTTGGGGGGTCGAGTCGTATGCGAGGTTTGATGCGGGAAGAGGTCTTGGTGTTGTCGCGTAGTTGCTGTGATTAAAAGATGAGTGGCAGAGATGGATTCTTGGTGTCTGAAGTTTGATAGTGGGAGTGGTGAGGTTTGGAGTGATGGTCCACGCATGGGGCCAAGCACCCGACAACGACCATGTCGCGCGTTTGTACGACCGCACGTGCACGCGTCGGTCCTCACTGACACATACGTGCATCAGCCAAGCAACTTCTCTATTATCTTGCATCTAACTAATGCTACCGCTCAGATGCAAACGGTATCTCACTACTCTGAGAATCAACCTTCGAAACTTCCCCTTTTGCGAGCGCCCGCTCTCTGGTATTCCGGACTTCCCACTCGAATTCCTTGAGTGCCCTGATCTCGCTACCAACAAACAACAACCCCATCAATCCGTCGATGACACCAACACTAAATCCCAATGTACTCAACAACATTAGTATGAAGGCAACGTAGTTCTTGGGTGACCACCAGACACCTATTAGGCAGCCAACGGAGAATGAGAGCTGGTAGAAGAAGTGACCTATGCGCAGCTTGCGCTGTATCCTTTCTCGGACCTGGTACTTGAGTATGGTTGCCATGATCTCGTCATAGACCTCGATGGGCAAATATTTCTCAGGCAGTGCCCATGGGGATAGCCGTATGGCTGACGGATCAGTAGAAGTCCTCGTCAGTGTCGCTTCGACGGAGAAATGATCGCTCAAGGAGCAGTGTAGCGTAGGATGACGCATCGCCATGCCTACGTTAGCTTCCTTGAGCTCCCACTCAGCTGTCTCCTCCTTGGTCTCTGGGTGGTGGTATCGCCCGCTGCTGAAGAAGACGTAGTCAAGTCGCTTCGCATTGGGGTCTGGAACGGCAGGATCTATTTGCACGTTCTCACCCTTATTGAGACGTCTCTGTTGTCCTTTGTTCCACCGCCAGGAGTTCAGCTCACTGTCGCACGTTGCTCCATTGACAGTCATGTTGAACTGCGCAGATGGCATTGGTACGCCGCGAACCTGCTCGACCTTGTCTTTCGCTGCGCCGATAGAGGACTCAGGGTGTAGGATGCGCCATACGTCCCGGACAGGCGAATGCGTCTCTATGATACGGTGCGCGAGGGATAAGGGGATCATGTTGAAGTCGCCCATGCCGATGACGAGATGTCCACGTTCAGCCGCTGCGCGCATGAGTTTTGTGATTTCCCACGCTTGGGCTGTCCGGTGGCAGATGTAGGAATCGTGTGGTTCGCGTTCATATGGAGCGTGAAGCTATTGGAGTCAGTGCGTGTACTTTGTAGCTGAACGCCCAACTTACATGCGTGCAGAACACTTCTGCAATGTCTCTCTTGGACGGCCCCATCTGGATTCTTGCACATGCGACTCCCTTTCCCACAAACCAATCGCCACGATAGAATGCAGCAGGCCGTCCATTCAGAGGGTACCGCACCATATTGCTCTCGAGAATAGGCCATCGTGACAGAATGACTAAACCACCACCGAAGATTCCGCTGTGGTAGAACTTGCCATAGGGCAATATGTGTTGTGTCTTCTCCCTTATGGCATTGTAGTCTTGCTGGGTCCAGCACTCCTGGAGTCCGACAATGTCTGGCTGCGGACTGGCGGCGGCGATCTGGTTTCCGATTTCGGTAAGGCGCTCGTTGCGCAGCTTGGAGATGAACTTGAGACCCCAGCAATTGAGCGATAGAATGCGAATACTCGAGGGTGGTGGGCCGAGTTGTGAATCCATTGTGTAGACGGACGCGAGTTGAACGGACGGGTATGATGCAACCCAGGAAATGTACCTGAGATGCTGCAGGGATGCTGGGGACCGCCTGCACGCTAACTTTCCATTGCCGATCAGTCGCGTTCCGCAATTCACTACGCAACATCAAGCCAACTACCACATTGAACATGGACAACACACGGTCAACCTCACCGAAAAGACGGCGCGAAGACGAAGACGGCTACGATGACGAACGACCGCGCAAACGCTCCGCCTCACACGAACCGCCCAATGCCTCCCCCAGCTACAGGATAGCGGAAAGACCCGCGCGCCGATACAGCAGAGGAGACAGCGAAGACGAACCACGCGAATACCGAGACCGGCGGCCCTCCTACTCGCGCTCGCGATCACGGTCACGCCGCTCCAGCACCTCCTCATCCTCGCACCAGCGCCGCACATCACCCTCAAAGCCCACCACTCTAAACTATGCGCCCACGCTCATCCTACGCGGCCACAAGAAAGCCATATCCTGCGTCAAGTTCTCGCCCGACGGCCGCTACATTGCCTCAGCCTCAGCCGACTGCACAATCAAGATCTGGGACGCACACACCGGCGCCCTCGAACACACGCTCGAAGGCCACCTCGCAGGTATAAGCACGATATGCTGGTCCCTCGACTCCAAGATCCTCGCCTCGGGGTCCGACGACAAGAGTATAAGGCTCTGGGACACAACCACTGGGCTCGCCCACCCCACGCCTTTCATCGGCCACCACAACTACGTCTACAGCATAGCCTTCAGCCCCAAAGGCAACATGCTCGTCTCGGGCTCCTACGACGAAGCAGTCTACCTATGGGACGTCCGCGCCGCCCGCGTCATGCGCTCTCTCCCCGCGCACTCCGACCCCGTTGGCGGCGTAGACTTTGTCCGCGACGGTACGCTCATCGTATCGTGCTCTCACGACGGCCTGATTCGTGTCTGGGACACGGCAACAGGACAGTGCCTCCGCACCCTCGTCCACGAAGATAACGCCCCCGTTTCCTCCGTCATCTTCTCGCCAAACGGCAAATACATCCTCGCGTGGACCCTGGATTCCTGCATCCGCCTGTGGAACTACATTGAAGGGAAAGGGAAATGCGTGAAAACGTATCAAGGACACGTGAATAAACAATACTCGCTTTCCGGTGCGTTTGGCACGTACACAGGGAAAGAAGAGGGTGTCGAATACGCATTCGTTGCGTCTGGGGATGAAGAGGGGCAGGTGGTGTTGTGGGATGTTAGTAGTAAGAATGTGTTGCAGAGGTTGGAGGGACATGGCGATGCGGTGTTGAGTGTGCATACGCATCCGACTGAGAAGTTGATTGTGAGTGCGGGGTTGGATCGCACGATCAGGCTTTGGAGACCGAGGGAGGGTGAAATAATTGTCAACGGCGAGAAAGAGACTGAGAAGGTCAATGGGGTGGGAGAGGGAGAGGCTGTAAACGGGATCCAGCGGGAGGAGACGAATGGGTTTGATCCCAATGTTTTGCCGCCGAACCCATTTGCTGAGGGCTGAAAGGGGCCAACCGAACAGCGGTCTAAGGATGGCCAAGAAGAAGAAGATGGAAAGAATTGAATAGAATGTGGTGTAGTTTAGATACCCAGGTAACTAGCGTATGATTGCTAGCACGTATTCTCTCCCTGATCCCGTTGTCCGTAAATCGTTAAGCATCGGAAACGCCTCGTGCTTTTTGGTATACCCCAACGCCGACCATGCCGCGAACAAATTCGCGTCAAGTTGAAAGAAAACGCCGTGAAAATGCACCGCCTCCACCATGTTTCCATGCCATCTTACCCCTCACACCACCCATCTAACTGAAATGGATACCCTCTTGGTTGAAAGCATACAGTAGCTTCAAAAAGTCACCCTCATCACACAACCGCGCCCGCTTATCCGCCAACTGCGTCTCATCCTCCAACACCTTCCTCACCTTCTCCCTGACCAGTTCACTCAGCCTCCCCTTCCTCTTCCTATTCACGCCATTAACCCTCTTCTTACTCTCCGCCTGGAGTTGTTTGAAGAAATCCGGGAGTTCATCGTCCGGGTCGTCCGGGTCAGAAAACCCTTTGAATTCGTCGTCAAGGTCCATATCCGCTTCGTCGCCATCTTCCGTAATCTCACTCGGATCCACCGGACTGTCATCAACAGGAATATCATTCTGCGCACACCACAACCTGTAATTCCCCCCCAGCAACTCCAACACCGCCGCCGTACCCAAGAAACTCGCTCGTAACGTCCTATTCTTCCGCACAAAGCAGATGCGTAACAAGCCATCCCACTCCTCATACGCAATCTGCGGCCGCGGATTCTTCGGCTCGATACGCACGACGTTGCTCTCGACCTGCGGCGGGGGATTGAAGTTATTACGTCCGACTTTCATGACGTGGCTGACTTTACTCCACATTTGTACGTTGACGGAGAGGCGGGAGTAGAGTTTCTCGCCGGGCCGCGCGAAGAGGCGCATGGCGAATTCGCGCTGGAACATGAGGATGCAGCAGCGGGGTGGGTGGGCGAGGGCAAGCAGTTTGAAGACCAGTGGTGAGGAAATTTGGTAGGGCGTATTGCTTATACAGACATCGAAGCGGGGGAGTTCGGCCTTTATCACGTCGCCCAACCGGATCGTTAATCGCTTTTCCTCCGGGCTGCCTTGAACTCGTTTTGTCAATTCAGCGGCCATTCGGGGGTCCATTTCTACGGCTGTTACTTGTTTGGCGGCTTTCAGTATCAGGACTGTCAAGTTTCCTGTTCCCGGACCCACTTCGAGAACGTGGTCGGATTGCTTCAAATGCGCTTTTTGGACGATGGCCGTTGCGACACCGGGGTTCTTGAGGATATGCTGGCCGAGGTCTTTGTCCATCTTGAAGATCGAGTGTGCGGCCGAGGCTTTCGCAGAGGCGGCGGCAGGGCGGGCGTAGGGGGAGGCATCTTTGTCGCCGCCTTTGCTGCGCTTTTGCTTTGCTTTCGGCATGGTGGGTGGTTGTGAGGTGGTTTGATGCGGTTGAGTAGGTTTTTCGTCGACGGAGAGAGATCGCGCGAGATCTGAGTAGTGCTGCGACGAGCTTGAGCGGGTAAGCTTGGCGGTTGTGGGTACTGGCCGAACTTGCGATCGGTTGGCGTGGGCTGTTGGATCTGGCGACGATAATTTTTGGTGTTGCAGATCGGATTTACCGCGGGGTTAAGACATGTGAGCGCGCGACTAGCGTGGTCGCGAGTTTGCCCTGATCCATGACGTTGATGCGACTTTCATCGCATTCTCGTAGTCCTTGTGCAAACCCTACTATTCTCGTATGCGAAATAGTATCGCGAACCTAGCCTCAAGCCTTCTGTTTTCATCGCGTTGTCACTCTTTCAAAGTCGCCACACACAGTCGTTCCCTCCTGAAATACTCACCCTTGCCGACGCGCTCCTTCCTCAGCAACCCCAGCAATTGCAATCACTATCAGCATCGCAATTACACTCACTTCATACCACGTGCCCCTAATTGCCCCGCTGTACACTTGCAAACGCGGTTCCTATTGCGGCCTTTGTCGAATCTCCAGTCACCTCGACATGCTATCAGGAGTAGCACCCTAATCGCGCTCTCTCACCTTTACCTCGATCGATTGCGCCCGTTTGCCGTCTACAAAAGCAGCTTTCCGGCCTTCGACCTCCGTCGCTCCTACACCTCACTCCTTACTGCATCAGCAGTCCCAGGAAGCCTAGGAACCTCTTTGATAGACACTCATAAGCCTTTGGCTACAGGAATCATGGCCAGGAAAATCTCTAACGCGCCCTCAGACTCGTCCCTTTCACCTCCTCCTGACAACCTCATGTCAGCCACCGAAACCGCTACCGTCGCCCAACCAGTAGCGAACGGCAAGAAGCGGAAGGCCGAGACAACACCCCGTACAAGGAGGACCAGAGCACAACAAGTCGACGTCGAAGATGTTGTTGATGCCGTCGATGAGTCGCCTCGACCCAAGCGTCGCGCTGCCAAGAAGATAAAGGTCACAGAAGAGGTGGAAGATGAAGTCATGGCCCAAGAGAGCGGTGATGGCGAGGGCAAGTCTAAGAAAGCCGTTTCAAGACGTAACAAGAAGACCGCTACTACGAAGAAGGCCGTGGCGGAGGACAGTTCGGTTGAAGCCGAAGTCGATGCAGAGATAGAGGTTGACGCAGATGGAGATGACAAGATCGCGACCAAGACCTCTGTCAAGAAGACCACACGAGGCAAGAAGAGCAAGGCCAAGATCGAAGACAGCGACCATGAAGACAAGCCCAAGCCTAAGCCTAAGCCTAAGGCAAAGGGCAAGGGCAGTACTGCAAAGATCCTACCACCACTTGCAGATCGCACCAAAGACTCAAAGCATCTGATTGGCGCCCATGTCAGCTCCGCCGGAGGTTAGTTCATATCACACTCCCGTCTGCTATTTGTGAAGACCACTGGCTAACATGGACTCGAAAACAATCGTTTAGGCGTACACAACTCCATCATCAACCTTGTATATATCGGGTATGTTTTTGATCTTCCACATTCACCAATTTGAGCCATCGCTAACATCCACAGCGCCAATGCTTTCGCTCTATTCCTGAAGAACCAGCGTAAATGGGAGACCATTGAGATGGATCCAGAACATGCTGCACTTTTCATTCAGGGCTGCAAGGACCATGGTATCAACGCTGCGGAGTGCTGTCTACCCCACGGTTCCTACCTGGTCAACCTTGCTCACCCTGATCCCGCTCGCAAGAAGCAGGCCTACGACTCCTTCTTCAACGACTTGACGCGCTGCCATGCGCTTGGCATCCGGTACTACAATTTCCATCCTGGAAATGCCAATGCCACCACTCGCGAGGAAGGCATTCGCATCATTGCCGAGAACCTCAACCGAGCACATGCAGATCCGGCGACTGGTAGCGTTGTCACTGTACTTGAGACAATGGCAACTCTCGGCAACACCATCGGAGGAACATTCGCTGACATTGCCGCCATCATCAACCTCATCAAGGACAAGAGCCGTGTCGGTGTTTGCCTAGACACCTGCCACGTCTTCGCTGCCGGCTACGATCTCCGTTCCCCTGAAGCCTACGCCACAACCATGGACAAGTTTGACCAGGAGATTGGCCTAGAATACCTCAAAGCCTTCCACGTCAACGACAGCAAAGCCCCTCTATCCAGCTTCCGCGACCTCCACGCCCGCATCGGTACCGGATACCTCGGCCTCCAAGCCTTCCACAACCTCATGAACGACGAGCGCTTCCACGGTCTCCCCATGGTTCTCGAGACCCCCGTCGACAGCGTTGACGCCAACGGCAAGAAGGTCGAAGACAAGGGTGTCTGGGCGCGCGAGATCAAGTTGCTCGAGAGCCTGGTCGGCATGGACAACACCTCTGATGAGTTCAAGCAGTTGGAAGCAAAGCTTCTAGCCGAAGGCACCGCTGAACGCGAACGCGTCGGCGATCAAGTTCAGCGCAAGGCCATCAAGGACGCGAAGCCTAAGAAGAAGCGCGCTACCAAGAAGAAGGTGGAGAGTGAGGATGAGGACGAGGAGGATGTGGAGGAATGAGATACAACCACTTGAGTACGTCGATTAGCGCCATCAGAAGGGATGGGTGGCGCATGAACTGTTCTATCCTCGAGGTGACTGTTCCGGCTCTGGTGTTATCCCTTTGGTCGTCTGGTGGAAGATGGAAGAAGGGTACGGGGTTGATGAGAGCAGGAGAAAAGCGGGGTTGAAATGCGTTGATTTGACTGAATTTTGACTTCGGCTTTTTTATCTCCTATGCGATACCCATTTCTTTGTATGGAAGGCATAGCATTTGCATGGGATATATACTGGTGGAGACTTCAAATCAACTCTACATCATGAGCACATATACAACTTATCTTGTACTGTGTAGGCGCATTGGACAACGCGAAGATGATGCTTATTTTGCTATGGTAACATGACCATGTTTCTCATGGACGAGGGCGTTGGATCACTTCGCGGCCAAGGTAGCGAGTAAGAGGACAAGAACAGGTATATGTATTGCTACGGGTCAGAGGTACAGATTGAAGTTCGTATCAGTGTTTTGAGATACCGGACATCAGGTGATCTTAACATAGATTTCACCTGGGCACTGTCTCTTCTTCAAATGCGAGCTGTCGGGGGATGGCTTCGTCATATAGGTCAGCTTCTACTACGCGGATGTGCAAGAGCTGCTTAGGCATCACTTGGCTCTGTAGATGGTGCGTCGGCATGCGTAACTAAACGGTGTGGTCTGACTTCCTAGCTGGGCCACCGAGATGCCGAGCGTGGGTGCCGAGGCCGCGTGTTCGTGCCGATTTGATGTGTAGGGCGTGTTGAGTAAGAGAGCTGACTTCGTGCCTCGTTTAGCTGGTGAGCTCGATGACTAACTAGGTAATAGGGATGGCCAAGCTCGCCTACGCGTAGAGTTCGTAGGGATTAGGGATTTAGATATGTTCGGAGGGATCTCGGGAATTGTGGGGTTGTGGTTAGTGTACGGGAATGAGGCTTCACATCGTTCAAGTCAAAGCAAGACGCGTGGATAGTTGAGTAGTAATCGCTTGAAGGACTACCTCCGGTGAAACATTTGCCAGTAACTAGAAAGTCTCCGAGAGACAGCGTTGTGTCGTCGAGATGCTACTACTGCACATCATCAATGCTATCGCAATCATACCGTATACCAAAGTGCGATCTCAATTGCCAGCTCGAACCATTACTAAACGCAGTCTGAGTCAAAGGCGCAGTCTGTTCATTTTGCTACTACTGCACACTAATAGAAGAGATGATGCCCAGGTGTACGGTGAAGCAGCCACACCAGCATCGCTTGCAGTCGACACTGCATATAGTGAAGTAACATAAAGTAGGAACAGTAAGCATACCGAAAGCCACAGTCTCAGTTCACTGGCCAGACAGGGAGGAGTACTGATGCTTCTTGGGGTGTTCGAGGCTTCTGGCGTGGGAGGGGTCTATTTCGGTTCTAGCGGCTTGGCATTCCCTATCGCTCTTGCTGTCCAGTCTGCCTTTCCGTCCTACTCTACACACGACGCATACGCGGTCTGACGACATGTGTAACACACTCGACGGGCACGATTGAGACCACTCAGAGCAGACTCTCAATACAACTGTCTGCGGCGCGTCCCGAATTCATATAAAGTCTGACCAATCATCTCCACCTTCCATCCCATCTAGCCTGATCAGGTTCCATGTCGCGAACACGTGGGGTGACGAGCGTCTTCTTCAGCCATCAGTCCACCGCCAGATCAGGGTGCCGAACAATAACCCTTGTGGACCTAAGCCTCGCCTGCAGCCACGGTATGGAACTCCCCCGAGACGCCTAACGGAGGCAGGCAGTTTGCATACATCATACACAGCATCGTTCGACAGCCATATGGCCACCGAGGTGCGTTGACAGCAAAAGTCTCAGCTCCAGCTTCTCAGAATCCTGTTAATTTCTCCGTCTCATCTTTGCGTCATTCATTTCGCTTGTTGTTCATCCTTGGAAGGTGCATCATTGTGGAAGTATGGTTGGTGTTCCGAAAAGCACTGGGTGCCTCATCTGCCGCAAGAGGAAGATTAGTAAGTCGTGTGTGGCCCTCTTCCTTGCGGATAACGCCTGACTAAGGACAGAGTGCGGTAAGGCTAGCTCCACCAGAACGCCCCGACTCAACCATTCTGACTAGTGACGATCAAGACGAAAGTTGGCCGACATGTCTGAATTGCCAGAAGAATGGAAAGCAATGTCCAGGAGCCCCCGCGCGACACACGTTCAGAGATCTCGGGCATAGGCTGAGTGGAGGCGCCACACACTCCTCCGTCGAAGAAACTGCATCACCAGGTAAGCTGGTATTTAGTGTACACGACTACGATACTGATTCGGTCACAGATCCGGACAGACAATTAACACAATTGAACGAGAAGTTTGCCGACAATGGGTCCGTCACCCACAAATTCAGGATATCGAACAAGAGTTCAACACCGCGGAAGCGGTCTCCACGATCAAGTTCAATCAGCTTATCTCCACCTAAATCGCCCTTTCTGAGGCAACCGTCGCCATCACAGCATCAACAACTCGCACGCTCCTTGATCGCAGCTACCACAACAGGTAGTACCGGGCATCGCATGTCGGTATTTGGTCGGTTTATCCAAGAAGTACCAGCTAGGATCGGACACAATGCTGCCCTTGATGCAGCAGTGACAGTACTGGTGAATGTCCATACCTCGCTTGTATACAAGAAGACTGCAGACGAGATCGTTTCGCCAGAGCTTTATATCCGGGCTATCAAAACGCTCCAGGGATGCCTCGAAAGCCAGCAATTAGGCATGTCGCCCAATACTCTCTGCGCATCAATACTTCTCGGTCTTGTAGAAGTAAGTCTTGCCTGGTTGAGCTTGCACCCGTACTTACATGCCCAGGCATTCGCAGGTCCAAGAACAGGCAACCGATATTTGACGCACGTGGGCGGCGCCGGACGATTAATGGAATTACAAGGGCCTTCTAGATACACGGACAGTTTCACGAAAGAGATGTTGCGCTTCAATAGAGGCGGGATAGTAAGTCGACCAAAATCACGATGATGCGGTCGAGTCTATTGGCTGCGACATGCACAAGAAAGCTCGCTCGAGACTAACATGTCGGTAGATTATTACGTGCATATACGAACGAAAGCCATGTTTTCTCGCATCGCCTGAATGGCGAGATATCGCTTTCGACAAGACCGGGCTTGGTTTCGACGACTGCCTCAATACCGACTTGATGCAATACATGGCCGAGTTGCCGGGTATCTTCAATACGTTGAAAGAGTTGGACGAAACTTACACCCTACAACCGCTCCACACTTCGAGCTTTGAGTTCAGCTCCAACGGCGAACTATATAAACCGTTGATCGACACGCCCCCGTCACTTGACTTCTCCACCGACTCTTTCGACGATATTGATTTTCAAGAAGACATACGGCCGGTCAAAACATCGTATCCAATCAGCTCAAATCCATACACATCTCAATACGAATCTGTACGGACGGCACTTCTGTACAAGGTATATGAGCTCAAAGACGCACTTCGCAGTCTAGGCGAACACATGAACACGAAGCTCACAAACGGCATCGCCGTCTCCGAAACACCGGCAAGAGAAAAGGGCAGTCCCATACAAACGACCTACCATTTCAACAATTGGCGCGACATGACCGCCTACAACTGCTTCTGGTCCGTTATCATCTTAACGAACAAAGTCCTAATGCGCCTCCTTTCTCCCTTCGACCAAGCGCGCTATCAACTCCAATCCGAATGCCGCTGCGCCGCCGTCGAGATCTGCAAAACATGGGAGGACGCTTGGGCCAGTAGACCCATCGGCGCGTTTCACACTGGCTTGAGCTTTGTTGTGGCATACGAATTCTGCACACCGGAAGTCCAGGCATGGATAGTAAGGAGCTTGAACTCTCTTCTAGACTACCACCAGGTTGATGCGTTTCGTTGGTCCGATGAGGTTATTGTTAGTATGGCTGAGAAGCTTGCAGGCGAGGGGCCGGCGGTTGCGTTTTCGAATGTTAGGGTTGAGGGGGATGCGCGGTGAATGAATGGTATTACAACAAAGCTTGCTTACATTCAGGCGACCGATTCCTCAGACTTGTATTCCATTACTGATACCCAATAGAAAAACGAAAGCTTATCTGCTCTGCGTCGCCACTGCACCTCCCTGCGTCTGCGTAGCGACAGGACTCTGTTGACTGACAAATACAACCAACACAGCCGCATATGCTGCCGTGGCTGCGATAACATCTTTCCTTTGCGCCGTCGTCAGGAAGCCTAGCCATCCCGCAAATGCCACAACAAAACCAGTAACAGCACCCAGTTTGGGGATCATGTGGTCTTCGAGCCGCCAAAGAACCCACATCGCGGCTACCAGGAAGCCGATTGATATGACAGTACCGACAAAGGTGACGAAGCGCTGCATCTTCTGTTCATTGACGTACTTTGCGCCTTCGGTTGATTCGGGGGTCTGGAAGCATTAGACTCCCGGAGAAGAAAAACGAAAATGAGGAAAGGGACAAAGAGGAGAGCAGTAATCACATACCAAAAAGAAACCATAAAAGAATTTATCGACAAACCTCGACAGGTAATCGTTCTCCGCGGGAGTGTACAAACTGACAAGGTCGGGATACGTTGTTCTGGCTCCATTCTTCTTCATCTGGTACTTCAGCTGGTGACCAAGCCACGGTTTCCCGCCATGGAATTTGGGTGTGGAGATGAATCGATCGAGTGCCTCGACTGTTCGTCCCGCCGGGGGCTCGAGATGCAGCACACCGCTGTAGGCGGCCAAAAGATTGTCTAAAGCCTCTGTCAGCAAGTCTCTCCTATCGCTTGGGTACGGAGCTACCTCTTACAGTATTCCATGATTTTGAGGCCGAATTGCTCGCTGTCTATCCCACTCTCTAGTCCTTCTGGATCCCCTTCACGGCTAATATCGTCCACATACTGATCATGTATCATTTCGAAACCTCTTAATTCTTTGCTTAGCACAATGAGCCGATGCATGGCAAGCTTGTCATATCTTCGGAACACCGCGGCGGACTTGCTAGAGTTCTGGGCGAGGGAATCCGCTATTAGGTATGAGCCCTCTTTCAATAACTGTCTTTCCCAGATTACTTTGGGGTCGTTGTGGGTCTGAACACCCGTCCAGTGTACGTTTTCAACAGCTTGAGTGGGTGATATTGGCGCTATTTCCATCGCGTCATTGGAATGTCCGGGAGACGTACGTCGACCCGAGAGATCCATCATGGAAAGAGCAAGGAGTACGATCAAAGGGTTGAAGGGGCTCGTTATCACCCTGAGGTTAGCCAAAGGCACATGGTTGCCTTATCAATTCAGCCTCGAAGGCGAATACGACATATCGTCTATCTTGCCCATATCCGGTCGAATTTGGTTTCCAGCTCCGACATCGAATTCTTGTGTGTGGCCAGTAAGCGGCAAGAAGAACAGCCACGTCAGCCTGCACGTATACATAGGGTATAGGTTCGGTTACACAACAGCGTTCCCAATGCATGATGTAGGACTATTGGCGCAGTTTTTATCGTAAGCTGAGTGTTCGTCTTCGCTTGGGGTAGCCTTCTACCTCGATCTTCTCCATATTCTCTCAGATAACACAGAACATTAAACCCTCCGCAACATATACCAATCGTCTAACCAATTCTTCTGGAGCTTCATGATCTAATCGCCAAGATCAGTTCTTTCGCGCGGGTTTAAAGTCGACGCTGGACTCGCAATTTGTTACTACTTCACCATACGTTGGAGGCACCACTTCTAGCTGTCATGCTGCTGGCGGACTCAAGACAGCCAGCAGCCAGTGCTTATGGCCTCAACGATATATCTACTCGAAGCCCAGGAGGCCAGAATCACGAAAGAGCGCATCCAAACAACTGGAAAAAGAAAATAGCAAAGAAACTCAAGTTTTGGAAAAGAGACGACCAACAAGACGATGGGCCGTGGATGCCAAGAAGCAGTTACCTGCTGGGTTAATGGCACTACCTGTTATTTGTCATATGTAATTGCGTGGGACAGATGGGAACGAGGGCCACGGGGGAATTGGTGGTCAGATGATCGGTCATTCGCTGGTGCTAGTGACTCGCCCGCAAGGTACGTTGTACCTTATGTCTCTAGAGCTACATGCGTCTTCTCCTTCTTATCAACACCCAGCCACAGTAGATCAGGTCGGCTGTAATGTCCACAAACGTCCAAGAACCCTTTTGCCTTCAGAATATCATCCAGCTGCAGTTCTGCGTAAACGAACCCCTCTTCTGTCTCTGGAGGGCCTTCAGCCACCAGGCGCCCATCTGGGCCAAAGATAGCTGAGCTACCTCCACCAGGGGTATTCATGGTGACGCCAGAGGCTGTTCGCAATGTAGCGATGCCTGCATCACTCATTACCGCTGTAGTGTGCAGAACAAAGGATTGCGACTCCATGGCGTAAACTTGAGAGAGGCTGCGGCAACCTATATATGAAGTACATTAGCTAAGGGATACTCTGCTCGTATACAATATGATATCGCACCTTCTTTGCTCATGGAATACAAGCCTGGACCGCCATCGTGATCGTACAGCGGCGGCCACGCAGCAACATGTATGGTTTCTCTCTGATGGTAAGTGTGGTATTTGAGTAATGGCTGCGTATGCTCCCAGCAAGCCAGGGTACCAACGCGTCCAACGTCCGGCAGCTCCACGACATTCTGGAGAGCAGAGCCCGATGCATCTCCAAATATCGTCCTCTCCATGTGCGTCGCTTTCAGCTTCCGACGCAGGACTTCGATACTTCCCTCGGCATTGATGATAGCTTGTGAGATGTAAAGCGAGCCTTTGAAGTTCTCGCTGAACCCAAGCACAACGGCGATATGGTGATCTGCAGCACTCTGACAGATGCGACGCATCTCATTTGAGTCTACATGCAGAGAGTTCTTCATATAAGCTGTCGAGAGCTCGAAGTCTATGGGCCTTGACCTAGCACTGCATATCAGCATGCCTTGGAAATCGACGAAGGACAACTGTATTCGCGAACGTACCATATCCAGGCAGGGTAGCCTGGAATCCAACATTCGGGGAACGACACAAGCTTTGCGCCGTTCTCTGCTGCCTCGCGGATCAAACGGCAGGTCTTCTCGACAGCCTTTGGCAAGTCAAGCCATGCTGGCTCGAATTGAGTGACAGCAACGCGAACAGTGGATGATGGTTGATGTGACATGACGTGGATAGTGTGTTGAGCGTAGGAAAGTGAAGGGTCCACGGGTATCTGATCACGTTGTATTTCAAAGAAGGTATTTATTGCAGAAACACAAAGGACCGTACATATCACTATGGTATTAGCAACGAAATGACTGCAGCCATCAGATAAGTGGGCACGAGGATACAGAGGTTCACTAATCTTATACAGCAACACGAAAGGCGGGGCTCCTGAATGCCAGCAGCGGAACCTTTCCGAAGGGATCTCGGCAAGCTTCGAAGCCGACGTATCTCTACATCGGCAACCTTATCTCTGATTTCGGCATCTCTCTGGCGATAGACGGTCATCTTAATGCTAACAGATGTATAACGCGACCGAAACAATGCTAAGCCGCGGACACTGCCCCAATTGCTCGGGTGATAAGTATCACATATACCCGGGTAGTTCCCGAATAGACCCGTGGACTGCACTACTCTTCCCGCTCCCCTTCTTATTCATCAACTTCTATCTGAAAGTCACAATGCCATTCTTAATTAGATTAATTAGATGCTGGTCCGCAGCAGCGCTTGGGTGATGTTACCCACGCACAGACATGTCAGATTCGCGAAATCCTATGGTGGGCCTTACCACAGCCAAGCTACAAGGCAGTCGGGCTCAGCGAACGGATCTCACCTGGGCAGCCTTCACCTTGCTTCCTTCCACCACGGTGGCTTTCATACACATCTCCAATACAGTCTTTTGCACCCTGAATAAGTCTTTGCGATCGTTATAGGTTTACTATCTGAGTATTGAACGAGCAGCATACTCCACGACGCGTCCACTGTGGGCTATGCGGGCTTGGCGTGCAGGATGAGAAGCGAAGCTGTCTCCGGACAGGAACTGGCAGAAATGAGGTGCGTCTCGCCCAGGTCAGAATCTAGATCTAGGTTGCTCATACTGAAGCTCCAGCCATACAACGGGCTTACTGAAAAGCGGCTATGCAAGTGTCGATTCGCGCGATGACACCTCTGGCGATAACAGTCACAATGCGAATGTAGTCGAATTGGAAGACAACTCCGCCCCATCGCAGGTAAAGCGTCGCCATCTCATGCGACAGTTTCGGTTTCAATCCGCTTCCTCGACGTTCTCTCGATGTATGGGCTCTCGTTGGAACCGGAATACCGAACGTCGCAAAGTAGCCATTCACTACAACAGGGCAGTCGCCGCAGTGCATGCGTTACTGCACGTTGTTCCTCTTTCTGGCGCCATCCTACTGCTGGTATTCCAATGGACGAATTATTGGGTCAATGAACAGAACGATTACTCAACTGAATTGCAATTTGCAGCAAAGCTCCACGAGTTACTTATGCAGGCTTCAATCGTCGAGGTTCTACTTAGCATTATTCGTGCAGGTCTTATTAACGGCCTTGTTCCATTCGGCACTTTATCAGGCGCTATGCAGCCGACTCAATTGTCTTATCTATGGTCACTGGATTTCTTCTCCCTCTTTCGATCTCGTGCACTCCAAGGATGGCGAAAGACAATCTTCGTGGTCGCCATGCCCCTCTTGTTCGCTTTGACAGCGCTGGTTGGACCTTCAAGCGCTGTTCTCATGATCCCACGTGCGGGCGTTCCACGCACTCCTTCACACAGCCAACTCTGGGGAGTAGCATCTGACGAAGCTTCGTATCCTTCTAAAATTCCCATCTCAAAATTTGACTCGTACGTACCTTGGCCCAAAATAACATCGAGTACTGAACTACAAGCAGTGATATTCAAGGGCTGAATTCAACCCTATGGTACTCCGACAGATACGAACGTGGCAGTTCTTATGGGTCAAATACCATTCTTCATTTTTCCCGGAGATTATCGAACTTAAAACGACTCCTACGGTGGTCCAACGATGTGCGCAACCCCGACAAAACCGGGGGTACAGTGCTTCGAGAGGCAAATGTCACGATCCCGACGGAGGTTATAGCTGATCAATCGGACCTAAAGGGCATAGGAAACACGACGCTAATCGTGGAGGCTGCACACCCAGTTGTAGGGGCGCAGTGCTGGGGATCCTTTTTCGACATCAATAACAGCAGCGATTGGTATTACCCCTGGCCTTGGACATCACTAATGCCGGATCTTCCCACCTTGATCTCCAAAGTATCGGATACTGTCGAACTTTCCGCCTCCACATATGGAGGGGGTGAGAATCACTCCACTGCTGTCTACTTCAGTCCGGTCTGGATCTCATCACCAGAGCCAGCAGATCACCCGTTGCTCGTAGTGTTCTTCCAGGGCAGGACGAGTGAAATGTGGAATCAGTCCACACTGGTCCAGCCTGGTCTGCTGTCGTCAATGGTCGAAAGTAAAGATCCTGCTGTGACCGCCTCTGTAACAGCATGTTCACTTTCTGCATATTGGAGCTCTGGCAAGGCGCAAATGCGCTACAACGAAGCATTCACACTGGTCGATACTGGCCAATCATCAACAATGGAGCAATCCGCACACCGGAAGATCACGCTGGATATTGCTGGTGATCACCCAATGCAAAGCGCGAAGTTCTATTCGGCCCTTGTGGGAATACTCGGGACGACACAACTCGGCAGCTTGGGTCTAGAAGGTGCACTAGCTGCAGCTCTGGTGATCTGGATCGCCAAGGTACCAACGTCGGTATCCATGAAGAAGTCGAAATGGCTGGAAGCTTCCTTTTTCTCTGAGTACCCACCGGAGGAAAACATCGAAGACTACACCCCTTACGAGTTCTTTGCCACACAGTATGGCTACGGCTATGGGATGCGATCGACGTCTGTATATCTATCCATGACGGTGCTGCTTCTGTACTGTGTTGTCACTATTGGCTACATGCTATATACATTCGCCACTGGCTCGGCCTCAACGGCTTGGAACTCCGGAGCTGAACTACTTGCACTTGCGCTCCAGTCCAAAAGACCAGATCATTTGGGTTACGTTGGCGTCGGAATCGACTCCGCCAAGACTCTAAGTGAAAGCGTTGGAATTCGAGTCAATGTAGATAATGAAGTTGAACTGGTGTTTGCGCAAGATCGGGACTTCAACACAAGAGGGTTGCAGAAACTTGAACAGAATACAGAGTACTAATACATATATTAGCCTAGTAGGAACGACTTATGTAGATTGTGTATCGCCTACTAGTACTCAACACAGGTCTATTATAAGATCTAACAAGAAAGAACGTATAACAGAGTTAACTAGAAGATAGAAAGCACAAAGCCTTTTGTCGTGGTTCTCTTCTATAATATCTAAAGTAAGGTGTTAGTCTCGAATATTATAGCCTGCAGACATACATCGATCTAATAAAGAAGAATGATGTCTTAGAGATTCCGACCGAGGAAGGAGCAGTTTAGTAATAGACCTGCTTTAATCCGCTAGTGTCCATCGCTCCAAGTACCACATTCTCCCTAAACCATTCCCACCTTCTCTACCAGTCTAGTCGTAGTTCGCCGAGGTCGTAAAATCTATCATGCCACCCAGCAGCGGCCCGCCCGCGGGTGACAGCCCGACTAGGTAGAAACACTACCACGAAGGAGCAGTATGTCTGACTTATATCTGACCTGCATGCGGCTACCGGCGATGCGTCATCAAATCTACGCTTACTGTGGGGGCGAGAAAGCATCTAGCTCTCACGTCGTGGTCCAGACGCTGACCCGTTTCTCCACGTGTGGACCGGCCCATCGGTACAGGCAAGCCACGGCGGCTATTATACAAGACATCAGTCTTTAGGCTTTCATCGGTTAAGTCGTGTCTCCAATGCCATGGAAAGCCAACGCACTCATGGCCCTGATGGAACACCCTTGCTTGCCCCGGGCGCCTCACACATCAACTTGGCTATGTCGGCGAGGTCCCCACTACCAGGGCGGGGTGACGGCCCGCAACATGGTCTCGTAATCTACATGCACGATCGCTGCACGATCTAACCAGGACGGAAGGAAGCAAGATGAAGTTGTTTCGTATGCAGAAAACACGAAGCTTTTTATTGTTGTTCTTTTCCGTCATATCTAGGTATGCATGCATCATGACATCATGTTTAACATCGAAACCAAGAAACCAGCAAGACCACAAACCACAACATGCAAACGCAAGGGCAAAGCGAATGCGAAAACATTACCCCCACTAAAGCAAAATAAGAAGCCAAGAGCGTGGAAGAAAGAAAAAGAGACAAAGCCGTTGCAACCGTCTGCGCCACACGCGCTACTGCCGCAGCAGCAGCAATAGTAGCCGGCACGGCACAGCCCTAGTCTCCACCAACATCAACTTCGACTGGAAGCCTTACATCTGGATATTGCACTTCTTCTTGCACTCCGCGGATCCGATAATAGCTCCAGTGCCCACTTCAGGGATCATTTCGCCGATGCTGGCGGGGTTGAAGGACGCGTCGCCGAAGCCAGCGCTGATGACGTCTTGAGGGACGGACCAGAGGCTGGGCAGGATGTTGAGGGTGCCGCTGTCGTCGCTGTTGAGGGCGCTGAGGAGGAGGGCGGGTTCGCAGTCTGTGGGTTGGTGTGGTTAGTAAGATGTGCATGCAATCAAGACCGGGTAAGATGCAAGGGCCGTTGCTCAGACCGTGAGGCTGAGAGCCGCATCCCCGATCGGTCAATAGGTAGCAGGGAGTGTGGAAGACATACCATTGTTCTGCATCATGTGCAGACTTCCCTGCGGGAAGATAGTAACACGCATGGGGATCATATCCACCTTGCGTGTCTTGACACCATTCTCGCCAATCATGTAAGTTGTCGTGTTGCCCGTGATAGCAGTGACCAAGTTGGTAGCCCTGGGATGCAGATGCGGTGGCAGCATGCCACAAGGAGCGAGCTTGAGAAGAGCCATGCTGGAGCCGAGGCCAGTGAGAGCAGGGAAGCTAGCAGCATTCGCGTTGATGACAGCGCCGGTGGGCGAGTCGTAGTCTTTGCTGGAGTCGAAGTCGAAGTACCAGTCTTCATCGGCAGGGAGAAGAGCATTGCGGTCGAAGTTTGTGGCGGCCATGCGGAGGGCGGCGTTTAGTTCGGGGTTGACGGTGGAGGATTTGGTGTCCGCTGCGGTGATGAGGGAGGGGAGGAGGGAGGTGAAGAGGAGGATGGTCTTGGTGAACATGGTGATGGTGGGGGTGGGGGGTTTGGGGGTTAGGAGGGAAGGTCTGGAGTGTAGCGTGTGGGAGGAGTGAGTGCTTGAGATGGCGAGATGTTGAGACGATGGGTATATGCTTTTATATACCGACAACCGAACAACAGGACGTGATGTTGGCAAGTGGGGCTGATAGATCTGGGAAGCTGCAAGGCAATCGACCGTATCGACAAGGGTAGAGAGACGGAATAAGGCGTGCTGACTTTGGGGCTGAGTTGCGTTGATGGGTAAATTGTAGTAAGCAAGTGGTGGAGTTTATCGACTTCGATGCCGTCTATCCAAGTCATGCATGCAGACTTATATAGATCAGGCGGCCGCATGGAAGGCTGGGACTCGCTGCAGTGGAGAAGACGAAGGGCCAGGGCGTGTTCGGTAGACTGGACTGCTGACCGCTCTGTCTTGCTCATCGTCGTAGGCTTTCAAGCCACTGTTACTCTTGCCCGGTGGAGGCGTCGCTAGGGAGGTTGATCGGTCATTGGAGCGTTCCTGACTATGGAGCGCCATTCCGTCCCAGCTTGTGTCGTGACCAGCTGTCAAAATTTCCTCGTTTGAGCCGAATATGTTTGTTGATGGCACTGTTGCTTCCGACGGGCTGCGCTGGTGATTGCTGCATATAATGCATCGTGAAGATTATGTGAGAAGCGGTCCGATCCCGGGTGTTGCTGCTTCTGTAAGGTACCTAGGTACATAGGTACATCTCACTTGCCTGCAAACCCGGTTTACGGATCGATGCTCGAGATTCGCACCATGTGTGCGGCCGCATTGGACCAGGGACCGGGGTCAACATAGCGCGTGGCGTAGCTTAACTAGAAGGGGACGTGATAGATTGCTATGCTGAGTCCTCCGACTGTTACTGGCAAGTTGCAGCTTTTGTGCAAACTCGCTTGTAACGAGAAGTGGTCGTAGGTGTGTGATGGACCTTCCTCCATCACATGCTATCTGTTGATACGACCTCTACTTGGGAAGAGACGCCGATTTAGTGTAACAGATTGAAGCTTGTGAGCGTTCCTTGGAGGTTGTAGACGTGCTGTTGGGGATGAGTGGGTCCAGGGTGGTGCTGCATATCAGTCGATGGTTATAGGCCTTGTGCGGCCCAACAGCATTCGAGCTACCATCAAGCGGAAGAATACGTCGAAATCTGACAGGCGCCTTACATGGCTGCGTCAGGCGCCCCTTGGGTACAGACTGGCTAAAAACGCCACAGTTCTACCGAACGAGGCGGAGCTTAGTCAAGATTGTTGGTGGAGGAACGTCGATATTCTTAGTGACACGGTCGCACTAGAAGATTGCGCCATTGGTCGTTCAAACGCTAAGTTTCGACCAACGGCAATACAGATGTGCGTGTAATTGTGGAAGAAACACAACGCGCCAGTCACGTTGTGGCCTCGTTGCATTAGCTTTGCCGTCTTGGGCGGCTATGCTTTGGTGTGCAGGGATTGGTTAGCCCGACGCGAGTTTGAGAAAAAGATGCCCGCATCGTTGCGCAATATCTTGTGTATCTTGCTGTGCAGCTTTGAGTGCTTTAGAGAAATGACTTACCACGAAGAGAAATGTTTTGCTAGTATCACAATCGCGAGATACTTCGTCCAGGTCAGAATCGGTCGCGGAGCAAGCGCAGCAAAGGTGTAGCTCTAGATTGATTGTGACACCAAACAAGTTGGCCTTCGTGGATCTAGCTCAGCGTTTCATGTAAATGACTTGAAGAGTGGGAAACCGAACAGGATAGTTTTGGGGACAATTTAGGTCGTGAATAGGTAGAAGAATTGTACGCTATCCCAGACGCCCCGAGCATCTCCGGTCTTTGGAAGTGATGGGATTCTAGTATAGACCTCGGGGCTTGAGGTTCACAAGTCCACATCGTCCCATATTGGTCATTCAGTCCCTTCAGTAAGAGCCACACCGGTGACAGCGAACTATCACTGTTTGGTAGCAATACCAGCGGAATCAGCGTGATCAGTCTTATCTGAGCGCATGAGATAGGCCATTACCCCCCAGATGCCTCTCATCGCCTCAGTACGGTCATCAATGTTGAACAGATCGAACCATCTTGTTCTTTGCACTTTTGGGGAAAACCAGTCGGAGTCTGTTGGCGCTTCTTTGGGCAGTCTACCTTCGGTGATGTACTCAAGATAAGTCGGATGTATGCGTAGCTTTAACAGGCTGATGTGGTGGTTCAATGACGATACCATGAAGACCTAGATTGTCGGATCAGCGGAATGAGCTTCCTAGAGCTGTAGTACGAAGCCCTACATCGTCCCACTCAACACTCTTGTCTTTGCCGATGGCCTTGTAGGTCACTTTTGGATCCCACAGTGGGTTTCCAGGTCGCAACGTTTTCCAAATCTCTGCTGGTGACGGCCTGCGGCGAGCCTTGGATCCGTCACGATTCCTGTCGGTGGGTTTTGCTTCAGGTTTGGACGCTGCATCTTTGGACAGTATTTCGATCGCCCCAGTTGTTTCGCCAACCTCGCCCCCGGGTCCTCCACCCCACCGCTCCTTTGTTGTCCACCATCTATCCTCGCCACCTCTTCGTTCAGCTTTCCCCTCTCTAGCTCTCTCTTGTGCCAGCAAAAGCAGCCCACCTAACTCGCGCACAGCATCAAGATTAGATTGCTTCTTCAGGTTTCCTGTCAGTCCAAAGCCAACGTCTGCCCTGCATTGTATCCCCAATACCGGACCTTCCATATAGCCATGCCTGGCCTTAGCCCTATCCTGAGGTGCTTGCCAAGCGACAGAGCTCATGCGAACAGGAAATCTAATGTGCTCAATTGTGAGGACGGGAGGACGGCGGTGTGGTGAGAGTGTCACACCAAAAGCCCATGCAATCGGCTCTATGAAAGCACGCACGCAATCAATGCGGTACTGATCAGGCATCTCGGCACCACTCCCGATACGATAGCCTCGGTAAGACCCGTTTGAGAGATCAACTACCTTGTTCTGAGACTCCATATTCACAGCCCAAGGGGCCTTGGGTGGTGCAGCCCGAGCTGGTAGTATGCGGTTTGGAGTATTTGACGGCACACGTGCGCTCACTGGTGCGGCGCTGGAGCCATTGGCGCCTTGGACCTCGGCTGGTCGATGTCCACTTTCAGCATCTTCAACCTTGGCCTTCTTGCGAGGTTCCTCTTCTTCAGGCGTGCGAGACCCTGGCCTCGCTGTGGATATTCGATTCGAATCAGTTTCACGTTTGGCGTCCTGACTTTGGGCATCTGTGGACTCTTGCGGGGAGCTTGAAACCACTGCCTCCCCGCTAGCACTGCCAGCTTCTTGCACTGGCGGAAGATATTCGTCTAGTGAGGTATCCCAGTAATAAGCCAAGTTGTCAAGACCTTCCCAGAACTTTCGGAAATGCGCTAGTCGAAGCTGTGGTTGATCTCCAACACTCTTGCGCGTAAGTGTTGAGTAAGCATCAGCATTCTTGAAGAACAGTTCTCTCGCTCGGACATAGAACTCTCTCTGATCTGGTACTCTTCTGCCATTGCTCAAGAGTGTGGCCGGGGTATCAGGACTGGTTGCGGCGTCGTTCTCTCCCGGTGATTCTAACCAGGAGGTTGGGGGCAGGAACGACTCTGCGTTGTTTGGCAAGGATGACAATAATGTTTCCAAGTCACACTGGGGCTGAAACGTGACATTCAACAAGGCCAAGGTCTCTTCACTCACATCAGACGGCTTTTTGAGTCGCAAAAAGTGCTCTGATATCCTTGCTCCTGGTTGGGTCCAGGTGGCTGGCAACGTGTTTATTGACGGCTCGGGCGGCTCAAGGGAAGGAAACTTGACGGGTGTCGGTTTCGAGGGTGGCGACCTCTGTTTCTGCGTATCATGCTGCCCCGCAAGTAGGTTGCCTATGAACAAGTTGTCCTATATCAGCAACAATATTGCACGTGCGCCGCACGTCTCAGACGAAACATGTGTGGAATATATACCCACTTGACTGACAGAAGCATGCCAAGTAGCTACCACAACAAGCAGCTGAACCCGAGAAGAAAGAAAACATGTATGCGGATTTGGAAGGCCATTTCAGATGCCATCGTAAACCAAGCTTCGAGATGATGTGATTGGCGTAGACTCCCGAGGTCCACTTCGAGCGGGCAGACAAGACCTCTGCGCGAGACGAAGAGACGCCGGCAATGGACCAAGAACAAACCAATAAGAAGAACACTCACCGCTGAAGCTGAACATTATCACAGGGTCGTGGTACGAGGACCGTGATGCTTAGGGGCGTGGTGGAATCGGCGATGGATGTCGAAGTCGAGCGAGGGCCGCGGATCTTCAAACCGGACGTGCGCACCCAACGCAACAACGTCTCCACACCCACCAGCGACTCTCTGCTAGAGCTTTGCGCGAGCATGCGATATTGATGCATTATATCAAACTTCAGGAAAACCAGATATGAGTATTGTGACATTTCCTCCCCGCAAGCCACGCGCGGCGTAGCCACCTAAACTCTAAGAGCACGTTCACACAATATAATCTTAATTATCTTAACGTTGCTGTCTTAATAGATTATTTTATTTTAATCTTAATAAGTTCTATTTAATGTTTATTAGAAAGTAAAAAGTTATAATAACTTAGTATAGTTGTAATTCTAATGTAGTTATTTATATATACTATAGTATATACTTAGATCTAAAAGTTTTAGTATCTTATAAGTAGAATAGCTACCTAGTAAAGAGTATAATAAAATAAATCTTCTATATAGTAAAGAGCTTTATCTAATATATATAAAAATAAATGCTAGCTCTAGAACTTTATACGCAATATTAATCTAGTGCGTAGTACTTATAAGAACTATAATAATGCTAATTTATATTAGTATAAATTCTACTTATAACCTCTATTATGCCTAGCGTATTAGAGAGTATAATGTAAAAACTAAGCCTAATAATACTTAGAGGCTTCTACTATATATATAAAATAGAGTATGTATAAAAGTATAGCTTATAGAAGAGCAACTCTATAAGTATATTTAT